TGGAAAAGCATGATCAATAAGGATGGAGACTTTCATTGAATAAATGTTTTGTTTGGATGTATAACTTGTTCGGATTTTTTCATCTAAAAAAAGCAACATTAATTTCTTGACAACCTAATATTTTACTTCGGGACATAACAAATTTGAAAAATTTTATAGATATACAGAAAAGCTACATCATACTTTTAAGAGTCAATTTTACTAACACTGTCTTTTAACAGGGTTGTTTGTTTGTTTGGGTTAGCTATTCACTCATAGCTACAGAAGAGCTATCTGAGCTAGCTGTCCCTATTTTTAAACTGATAGATTAGATAGAAGGTAACTAGTCAACACCACCCACTACCAACTATTGGGATACTCTAAGTGAAAAATAGGATTTGACTTGCACTCTTATAGTGCACCCATGTACCCAAAATGCAGTGTTTATGCTTCAATAGAACACGATCCATTAACCCTCTGATCAACAGTCCAACACGATAATCATTAGGCCACATCCAGCCCACATTAAATAGAAGGACTATTAATGTTAAACATGTGTTTCTTTTCAAAACATGCAGTTCAATGTTTCTAAGATGTGTCATCCTTCTACCCACAAAAATGTGTTTATGCTTTTGACAATAAACTGCAATAAAATATAACTTTTCTTATAACTGACATATTATTAGGTTACAATAGAAAGATTATTTTTTAACCTTCTTCTAAGGTACTAGTATGTATAGAAAAACACAGTTACAATAAGAGATAGTTGAAATAAAAAATAATGCAGTCTGCTGTATTTATGCCTTATTAGCCCTGATGCAGAAACAGTTCCAATGAAGAGAGTTAATGTTGTTTTTTGTTTTTAAATCATTAGTATTTGCAGAGTAACACAAAGTTGGAAGTAATAATACAGTTTGTTCTTCTTCTAGTTTACTAGTACATAGATATTAACTTGAGATTGCACAGTTAAAAAAAGACAAATCTTTGGAAGTTTCAAAATAGTTGTAAATCAGTGCATCATGAATTGCAGAACATTAAAATAATTTTTTTGGTATTTGATGGAAGGAGAATAAATCAATTTCACTGGCTATATAACTTTCAATTCAACATAAAACATTTTCTAGGATAGTCAGTCACTTATTTCTCAATTATCAAGAAATACAGAAATCAAGGATTATTTTTGCTGTTTTCTTGCAACTCCAGCAAATTTACTTAAGTATGTGAAACTTCATAATATTTACATTTTAAGATAATTATGAATTATTAAAATTGCTACATTTTAACATATTCAAATGAATTACAGGCCTATATGCAAAATGTTTGAGGGGGGGTTCTAATTTGTGAGATCAAAATGCAACACAATCAACAAGCAAAGCATTCTAGTATTACAGGGATCTGAGGCATGCCCCCCCCCCCTCTCCAGAAAATTTGAAAAAATAATAACAATGAATAAATGAATAGGTGCTAGGAGATTACATCTAGAAGCAATTTTGCATAAAATTTAGCTTAAACAATTGCACAGCTATTCACGTAAAATCCACAAACATCCAAGGAAAAGTCAACTAATAACTGTTATCGAAGAAGTAGAATAACATGTACCCTGTATTTAGAGACAGGGCCTATGATAGTTTTGCTGAAGCTAATTGTAATGTGGGGAGTTAATTCTATATGCTAAAATCGGGATAATAGTTACAGAACTAGCTCCCCGCTTTGACCTTTAACTAAATTATAATAATAAAAAAGGTCATGGCTTTGATATAATCCATATAAAAATATATTCTAAGTATGTATACAAGTGTACCTTTGTCAAATATCAAATAAGATTTGGAGGATAGAATTTTCTTGAAGAAAGACTTCTTTTAGAGTACCATAGCCATAAGATAGTGTTATGTTACCTTGTTCAAAATATGCTTTAGTTTTTATTATTCATTAGTAATATTAGATCAATTTAAATACTTAAAACTTATTGTTTTCTACACTTGAGGCTTTTGGAATAATTTTTGAGAAAAAACGTGCACCAAGTTTACTTCATGCTCGTATGCAGAGGTTAGGCCGAACTCCCTATTTTTGAGATTTATAAAAATTATGCTTATATAGTTATAACTGCTTATGGTATTTAACATAATTTGCATTCTTCTGATGAAGCATTGGCATTTTTTAGCTTCATATAGTTACACAAAATGGTTTCTGTTGACACTCTGTAATTGAATGCCTGAAGACTTGTTGCTACTGTCAGGTTTTGTAGGCCGGATTCTATATGGTAGGTGTCTGTAACTTATTGGTGATGTTGAGGTGAAAACAAACCGAAGAAAGACTGAGTGCTCTGGCTTTAATACATAATCTTTATAACACTGCTATCAACATTGAAACTGTATGTAAGTTTGTTGTGGAAAAACACCCCAGAAGAATGGAACATGCTAACATGTTATTTCGGTAGTGTGTAGATGTACGTATATGACAACCAATGACTGAAATAGCTAATACACTATTTTTGTACTTAGTTGTTTAAATCAGTAATCTAACTTAACAATTAATAACTACTCTGTATCTAGATAGTACAGTACTTTACTATAATAAAACATACATATTTATGCAAATTGAAGTCTAGCTCCCCATGCAGTGTTACAACAGAATGGTGATTTGGTGTACATTTTTGCAGTTTGTTTGTGTACATTTTCCATGAAAACTAAATAGAACTAATATCCATATAGATAAAAAATACAATTTTACTTGTGTACTTGATGAATGAATTTAACATTTGTCAAACTTTATTTTTTCACCACATCATATAAAGGATTAAAAAATAAGAAATGAAAGTTCATATATAAACTTACTTTAAAATTACAAACAAAAGACTTAATATTGCTGATTCAGAATGTAAAATCTGAAAGATACTCTAAATAAGTTCAATTACCATCACTAGGTGTGATTGGGGAAATGGGAGAGAACTCTCTCATTGGAATGAGGACTAGTCCTAAGAGAGGGTTCAGAATCATTCCTGCCCGTCCACGTCTGTTGTTGAAAACTGAGCTGCTGCAGATGGAGTCAATCATTTGCTTAAAAGCTATTTTCATATATCCATCTTTCTCCTTTGACTTAGTGATATTACTGTGAAAACAGAACAAATCTAATAATTTGTGATTTATAGACCTTTCAACAGCCAAAAATTGGACTCATGTTACTAGGATCGATATTTAATCCTTCTGTAGATCTAGTGATAAAACAAAGAAACAAACTTCACAAATTAATATTCCATACGTTACACATCACAGAATAGAAAATACACACACAGAGCATATCTTTAATGAAAAAACAAAGATAAAAATGTTTACACATACAATTTATTTCTTAAATATTTATTTGAGTATCACACACACACACAAGGAAACCACATAACACTTAATTCCAGAAGTCAGAACCATTGGCAACGGACTATCTTAAACAACAGATATTATTAACAATTTTGAAATTTTCTTGCCCTCACTAAAATTTGTAACTTCAGTGCAAAATATTTTCATCTCTGTATTTTTATTCATGGTGTGTCAACATTTATAAAATGTCATACACTTGTTTCAATTTTTAACTTATACCCGTTTTCTCATGGATTTGAGTCCTTGTGACATAATTCCACTTTTGTTTGAACCATTAAAACTTATAAATAAAATATTTTCCATACTTTAGCTATTGAACAAATTCTTACCAATGTTTAACACATGTGTATTAATGATTTCAAAAGGTGGTCAATTTTTAGTTATTTTAATGTAAGAGAGAGAAAGATTTTTTAGAAACTGAGTTTTCATACATGCATCCAAAAGAAAAGAGACAATAAGAATGTCTAAAGTGTTGACCCATATCTCTACAAAACTTTTTATTTTGCTTAATGTTTTAGCTACTAACCTGCTGCATGCTCCAAAAGGCTAGCAGCTGAAATCCTACGAAAATTAAATAGATTGAGTTTTCATTTTAAACATGCAATTTGTTTAATTTGCAAACTCTCTGTAATAATGCAGCAAAGCATCAGTTATGGTATGAAAACTATAAACTGTAGATAAAAAGAGTAAAATATTTAATTTGAAGAGAATGAAGTCAACACATATCAATCAGCTTTTTTGTCTTGTCTGTCTTTCTACATTTATAGTAACTGAATCTAATAAGCCTTAAAAACATCAGGGATAAGAAATCCTCACCCATCAGACTTGTCTGTCTCATCCTCAGAGTCTGAAGACTCCTCATCATCTGCTTCTTCACTTTGTGCTACAGCAAGTTGTTCTGCAAAACATTTAAAATTTTGTTAGATCATTACAACACATATTACTTTACATGTAGTTTGTGTACTTCATGCATGATCTTTTGTAATGGCAAATGTGGCATTAATACTGTGATGAAGTCACACATTTCTGGATTTAATTGTTCACACAAATGTTCTTTGTTTTAGCCATCCTTTCTTCTTTCCTTTTTATTTATTGTTTATGTTTTTATGTGTTACTTGGATAACAAAAATTTCAGAATAAAGAAGTTAAACTTGATTTTATATATTTTGTTCATACTTTTTCTTCCAAGTGTTTTTAGGGTATTGAACAAGCATGTATAATGTTTTGTGACCAGATTTTGATAATTAAACTTTATTAGAAAATAAGTATTTGGATAAATGTTTAAAAAAGTCCGGTCTTATGTAATTTTGCCTATAGATTAAAAGATTGCTACTATCTGTTAGAGCTGAAAACAAAGTAAGAAGCTTGATGTTTTTCTCTCTGAATGTGTTTCATTTTTATGGTAGGGTTCACAAATATTTTTATATACTTGATTTCTTGAGTGACAATTTTTGAGTTCTTGGTATGTTGATAAGTAAATTCAGCTTCTACATATTAAGATGATTATTTTGTACTTCTTACCTTATAAGCATCTTTTCTTGGTCTTCTACTTCATAAGCCCCAGATATTTTTAATTGGCTAAGTTGAATACTATCAAGTAACAGAAAAATGTGTGTCTGAATTAAAACACCATCTTCATATAATGATCGGTAAATGCTGAAAAATTCCCAAGGGAGTTTACGAATCTAGTAGGGAAAAGTGTTGTTAATCCATTTCCAACACAAAGAAATTTTCATATGATAAACATACCAAGGCAATCCCGCAACTGTTCCTCCTCTTCTTCAGCATTATAGTTTTTAATTTGAGTTGCATTCTGCTGAACAGTGTTAGTAGTATCGACTGTGTCTTCTTCGGTTTTGGAAGACAGAAAGTTACCAATCCTAGTCTTGTTCTGTATGAGTCGCTTAAAAAGAATGGTGAAAGCACTTCCCCAAACTCCTGTGTCAAAGAAATGGTTTTAAATGTACAACAAACACTGTCAAAGTTCTTGCACCATAAAACGATTATTAAAACACTTTGTACCATGATTAACTGATCAAAAATACAACAGAGAAAGTTATGAGTACTTAGTACCATAGAAGTATGATTTAATGTATGTCATGGAAATATTTAAAAAAATAAAACAAGCATTCCCAAAAACCTACAGACAAAGAAATCTTGATAACTACATAAAAGTACTTAAGATTTCCTTATTCTGTGGATATACCATTAAAAAGTCTTTCCATAAACTCTTGTAGAGGATAAATGTAACTAATTAAACTTACATAAATCTTTTTCTTAAGCCCTTGTAAGATGCAAACAATATTAAAAACAAAGGATATTTCATTACAATTTAGTTGCAGAAGCCATGTTCATAAGCCCCTGAATCATGTGCAAAATTGTAAAATTACAATATACATTTTTCTACATCTACAGAAGCCATGACCATAGATCTTTGTACCATAAACAGAATGGTAAGATTACAAAACATCTTTCCCTAAACTTACAAAAACCCCTGCCATAAAACATTTTACTACAAACAGATGGATGAAACTACAGTAAAAATTTCCCTATATTCTTCAGAAGCCACGACACAGTAGTGATAAAAAACAAAAACAAAACAGATAAAATCTCTCCCTCTCTTTCAAGAATCAAAATAAAAACAGGCCTATGACCTGTGCAGGAGTTTTTTTTTAGTAGGTTTGCCCAGGTTTGAATAAAATATTCAAAGCTGTTTTTTCTGTAGGCTCGTGAAACAATAATAACATGAAGAACCAATTGATGAATTTTGTCTGACAATCGGAAAATCAACTTTTTTTCTATTATCAATATTTTCGCAGCCTTACTTACTGAGATAGAAGGTCTTTAGTATTGTTTCAAAAACAAATCTGTTTTTTAAGATGGTTTTTGTCCCTATATTCTATTAGAACTTTTGTGAAATTCCTAGGCAAACCGTATTTTGAACCACTATCATGGTTTATGATTACAGTAAACATTTCTTCTAAACCACTGCATCAAAAAGATCGTACCAAACATACTGGAGACTTTTCTCTATAGCTTGGTACACTCAAAATATTACTAAAAGTACTTGAACTATGTAAAGGACAAAATTACAAAAGGTTCCTGATGACCTTGTACCATGGAAATGCCATTAATGTACAAATTATATTACATTACACTCCTGAATTATTAATATTTTGTTAAAAGCATAAAAATATTTCTATGTTTTCATACATGCTTATTTACTAACTTTTTTCACTGGTTACCTGTTACTTCTACCATTATCTCATGATAACATCTGACTGTGTTTCTTTTTAAATTAAATAACTGGACAGCTTAAATATTAACAGAAATTAACAAAATCAATATAATCACACTTTTTTTTAATGTTAACTATTTGGTAATTAGCTGTAAAATATTATAGTTATCCAAAAAAAAGGAAACAATACAAACTTAGAATTTTAAAACTATTAAGCTAACAATGAATAACTAATTCATTTATTACATTAAACTGTTTTACATTTTAGGAAGCACGAATTTCTATATTGTTATGATTAGTTTTGGTGAGGAAACATAAAAAGTTCATAAAGTACATTATACCTTGGAGATAATGAAGAGGTTGTTCCTCAAAAAATTTGATGATTTTTCCTTTGTAAAATTTACACCCAAAATGCTCAGTTTTCATAAATGTTCCGTACTTGGCAATACCCACTTCATAAGGAGAGAATTCTAACCATTCTGGAAGAAAGACTTATTAATTACCACTCAATAATTAGTCTCAAAAATTTTCAAATATCTAGATCAGCTTGCAAAAGAATTGCTGTTAAAATGTTTTATAGAGCAAATTTAAAAAAAAAAGATATATTAAAATCTACTATCTCTTGAGAAGCAGTTTCCATATGTGATTCAGGTTATATTGCAAATTTTTCATTTAGATGATTCAAAAATATTTTTCTATTCTTTTTTTTTTTTACAATTTCAATTAATAGGTTGTTCTTGAAATCTTATAAAATTTTAGGTTTAAATCCAAGAGCTGTAACATCGGTCATGAAGAATTATACTATACGTATAAAATCTAGAATTTATTTCATGAATGACTTAAACTTACCATCACATATTCAGAATTTAGAAAAAAGTTATTTTTAACATATCAAAATGTTTAGAGAGCTTAACATTATACCATGGTACACAGGGGCAGCAATATCCTTCTTCACATGAAGACAGGTATACAGAGGTAATGGGCTTTGTCCAGCATCAATCTTTGCCTGTTGGTCTGACAATTTTTTCTTTTTTTCTGCTGTGTTCTGTACAGAAGACATGAAAAGATAAAAAATATTGCATATGCTTACTGTAAAATCCAGAAGCTCAAAAAAGCAAGCTTTTTCTTACTAGCTAATACACAATTTCCAGTTCAGGAATGATTATGCCAGTGGTCGATTCTCAAGTAGCAGCTTTTTTTAAAAACAAATTGCCTGTAACTGTTTGTATCACAGTGATAAAAATTTGAACAAAGTCTAGTTAACTTCATCCCACCAGGCTTTAGAGCAAGTACAGCTTTTGGAACAGATAATTCTTTCACTTTGTAGTACCAGGAACAATATACAGAATTTCATCCAGAAAATTATGTTTAACCACTATATTTAATTCCTTTAATGATTCAATTTATTATAAGTAACACAATACTTAAAAATATTGAACATATCTGATAGATGTTTACATCTTTGTATTATTTATAAAAAAAAACTGGAACTTTTATGCAATCAATGAAATCTATAGCTCCATTCTATGATTATTATGGATTATTTTCTTTAAAATATTTTACCTTAAGAGTTTATAAGTAACTACATATTTTATTTTTAGAGATTCTTAAATGAAAGATTATGAATAATACAGAAAGGAATCAGAAAAAAATCTGGAAACATAACACAGTCATAAAAAGAGAGAATTGAAGATTTAGCTATGCCAATGTTTTATAACAAATAACACAAGTTTATAGATATTGAAAAAAAGAATTCATTGTGACACTTTGCTTTACTTTAGTAAGTGCAAAAACTTACAAAGTCCAGCTACCACAAGGAATTAAAAAGTTTTAAGAGTGAAAGAAGAAACTTGATTAATGATTTTAAGTGTAATAAATAACACTGTGACCTCACTGCACACACTTAAACTAACTAGAAAACCATAATCTATGTAAGGTTATAGTACTATATGATACTACTACACAGTTATCAAACTAAAATTAAAAAAATCATATATTTACAAAATAGCTATACAATACATGGAATCAAGTTAGAATCATAAAACATAACAAATTACAGCCAATAACATAAAAAATAAAAATAAATGTGACAATATCACAAAGACAAATTCAGGTATACTTGGCTAAAGTGCAGAATAAATCATAAACAATACTTTATATTAAAGCCAATTATAAAATGTTAGATATAATTATGTACCAACTATGACTAGGGAAAGAACTAAAAGTATAAAGAAGCACTGTCCACTGAAGCTACAAAATCTGGTTTTGTAAAAATAAATTTATTAGTACATTTTATATTTCAAAACTATTTTTTATTATGCAAATAAAAAGAAAACTTTAAATGTATTCTAAAACATGTAATGATATGAATATATTGCCATAAAGTTTTGATTTTATAATATTCTTGGTGGTGTAATATCAGAGGATTATGAGAAACTAGTTTAAGCTCTTCACAAATAAGAAGTTAACAAATGCTTAAAAAGATGTATGATAAGTTTAGTCAAAATTCTAAAATTCATAAAGCAGACATCCACCTCCAACCCATTCTTTCAACTTTAGGCACACATACTTATAAAGTTCCCTGTACTTATACTACAGCCACTTACTACTAATGAATTCCCTATTCCTTTTAAAAAACTTTTTAATTGCTCCTTCTTATTCTGGTTAATCATTTCACTTACTAAGAAAACTGTGGAGATAGAAAAATTATCTTACAGGGATAGGTTAAGAAGGTGACAATATCAATAGGTGACAATATTAAAATTTACAATATTATCTAGGCTACAATAAGATAAAAGCCTCAAGTTTAATATTTGAAAAAGATAGTCTAGACTCCAATTAAGATAGTTTTATTTTTCTAATAGGGTATATGGCAAATTAATTGCTATCAGTAGTAGTGAAGGTTGGTACTTGTCAAGAATTTAAGAGGGGTGGGTTTAAATTTTCATTGTTCTCAAAGGTGGTGAACAAATGTGGTATATAAACATACCATGCATTTTATACTTTTCTAATTCTAATACATTATTTGTTTTCAATTATTCTGGTATGTCCAGTTTTCACAGAACACATAGTCAGGACAGTCATTAAGTTGATGCATTCTAGGTGCCTTTGTCATTCTCTGTAGATAACAACTGTTCTGCCCATGGAGACATAAGTGTAATTCTACATGTTGTTCACAACTGTAGACAACATATTCTAAGGATACAACCTTCCTAATGTTTAAATGAAGATGACCAGTCATTTATCTTGTTGAATAACCTATTATTGAGCACCAATCACTCACAGAATAATCAATTAGACCTGAATAATTATGAAAAAACAGTTAGAAGGATCAAATGATCCCTTTTTGTCCATACATTATGTTACAAATGATTTTGTTTTATCATTACTATTTATTTTTCAGAGCAAATCAAAACTAAATTACAAGCAATGAGTATAATTTTAAGATTAAAACACATGATTGTTTTTATTTTAAGACAATCTAAACTAAACATCAGAACCTAAATTAAATCCAAAAAAGTTTTCTGGGGTTCATGTTCATCAATTTATAGAAAATTCATAAACTATAAATATGTACCATAATATTTTTAAAAACTTACATCTTTTAATAGAGTGTCACCAAGAAGATGACCAAAAAAATCTGTGAAACTGACAGGCTGACCATTTCTGTATTTTGTCAAGATACTATTTACATAGGGGAAGAATCGACGAGGCCCAAGAAGTCGAAATGGACTTTGACCTATATTACGTTTTAATTCTTCTTGAATGTGACCAGGGCCTTCAACAGGAAACTTAGAATGACTATATAAAGTTGAGAGATACCTAAAACACACAAAATTTAACCAATTTTCAATGAGAACTTTACCAAAATCACTGAGGAAATTAACAACAGAGCTTATGGTTTGTTATACAAAAATCCTTGAACAAGTAAATCTAAAATCAGACAAAAATAAATAGAACTTGAAAAACAGCCAAAAATTTTCAGAAGAATATCCTTTTCCTTCCAACATTATGGTTGATATTTAAAATATGTTATACTTAGTGCTTAACACTAAAAATAACAACAGTAAATCAGATAAAGTTTATGTACAATTAATATCACTTAAAGTCTGTTGACAGTTTTTTTAAATATTAAATTATAATTTGTATGTAAAAAAAGATTCCCTCCATAAAAGTCATGTTTAATACACATTAAAATATATTTTTCTTGAAACATACACTAGAATTCAAACTTAGGGAGTGGTAAATATTTATTGGTATTAAGCTTGGCTCTACTTATCAAGAATAATCCACATGTAAAAGTCAAACTACATGTACTTAAATGCACATAGACCAAACTCAGCTCACAAGCAGAATTTTACAACCTAGTTCAGAGACCACATAGTCTAAAATTTGACTAACACTCCAACATTGCTAAATAATTGGGGAAGTTTCAATGGAGGAGATGGAGAGTAAAGATGTGTGAAAAACAAGCTCTTAGAAATTCTTAACACTTAGATTACTATTCTCATTAATTTCTCATAAATATTTCGGTTATTTTTGGTTCACTTGGAGAATTCAATAGATAATGGATTAACTTGCACATAAATTTGACCGACCTCATAACCACCAAAAAATAAAATGAAATCAAAATAAATCTAAATTACCATTTTTTTCTTTCTAAAATGACTTCAAATTGTAACATGAAGCTATATTCAGTTATCGCAAGTAGCTATAAACTTGTAGCAATATACATCAATTTATACTTAAATTTTATTGTTTTATTGCTCTTTGAACCATGTCTAACTACTAGTTGCACCATTATAAATTGTAAATCCCTTGAGGAATGTGGAGCTCATGTTACTCTATCAAATTACATTACTCACAAGTTACTTTGAGCTGCTAGTGTGAGTGCCTCACGAAAATGTTTTATTGTATTATTATTTATTTTACCTCATCTAACCTTAACTAAGCTAAAAATATTCCTATTTTTATATGTTAGTTACTTTAATATTAATAAATAAAGAACATACATGAAAAACAAGAAATAAAGTACTCACCTGGACTTTGTTTTTGCCATCAACTGTTGATGACACTTAATCCTACTTTTTTTCTATATACTAGTGGTAGTAGTACACTAAACAATTTTTACTTAATTAAATTAAATAATGGACCAAAGAACAAAGAATAATAACAGGCAAAAAGCAGACAATGTCCCATAACTATCACAATTTTCCTGGCTTTCTAACTATGCAACAAGAGCCATTACAAATTGATCCAAGCTAGTCGATATGTTTCTTGTAGATCGAAAGCTTTTACTAAAAGAGAATTTGACAATTCTCTGTTAAGAAAACAACATAACATGTCATTTGATAGATCAAAACTTTGACTTTCTATTGATTATAAATAACATAGTATTAAATGCATGAGAGAACAATTAACAAATCCTGAAAGAAAGGATGTGACAGGTGGATGTGGCAAGAGGGGTCTGATTTTTTTATTTGATGGCTCTGTAACCAAACAAGATGCTTTGCCTGAATGATGACAAATTGATAGTGAGTAATTTACGTTAAGTTTCATACTTATTGGAGGGGGTGGTGATTAAATTACAGAAGAGAAGATACCTAGAGAAAAAAATATCACATTTCTCACACTAGGGGAAATTCAGGATTATTTTTAATATTGCCTTATAAAATTAAGAACTTAAATCTTATATACTATTAAAATACAGATTATTAGCTACAATTATATGCTATAATAATTGGTATAACATAAACAAAAATTTGTTTAATTAAATTTTTAATGTAAGTCACTAAAAATCTCATGAAATGTGCAGTAAAGAGTGCAGAGAGGGTTAATAAACTGAATAAACTGAACAAGGGTAGTAAATTTTAGTGGCAAGTTAAGTGGGAGAGTTTATTGTATAGAATATATGTATATTGGCAAATATAACTCGAAAAACTAAAAAAAAAAAATAGAAAGGAAGAGGAGAAATGGAAAAAAGTAAGATAAATCTTTTTTAATTGGCTACAAGTTATTGAGAGTTTGTTTTTTAGTTCTGTTAATTAGTACTAATTGTTCACATGATTATATATAGATTTATCATACAGTTAACAACTGCAAGGTTATAACTACAATATGCTTCCCAAGTAGGAGATATGTAATGGAATGAGCTATGTAGCAATGTCAATTTCACAAGCACTTTATTCTGACATTTCAACAAGCTTATGGCTGTCACAGGAACCAAAACCAATGTAATGTCAGTCATTTATGATGATGAGAAAACCCCACTCCATACAGATGAAGACCAAGGAACAATCTTCATGATCATTTGTGAGAATGATAATATACATGCAAAAGAGGTTCAAGTTACAGCAGTCTCTCTCCTAGCTACAACTATATGTGGAGATGGAAACCATCTTTAGCTTGGAAAAAATACACAGAACCATAAATACATCTAAAGAAGGATGGTGTAAGGATCTTCACCTTTAAAAAGCTCACAGAAGCCAACCTGTTGAAGGTTGTGTCCAAGTATCAACATGTCCGGAAAATACACAGCATTCCTGAAATATGGAATGATGCCTTTGACAAATCCTTCCCCAAGTCCATGAAGAATCACTCTCATCTTAAAGACCATCCAATCAACATCCTTAAAACAAAACATCACTGATAGATTCCAGAGAAAGTTGTAGCTAGAATGCTTCCTATCAGACTGAACACCTCAGCAGAAGCTTTAGATCTGGAAGACACCTACAATAGAATTCAGCTGTCCATTCTTCTTGCAAAGTGCTCAGAATACCTACCATTGTAATGTGTGTCACAGCTTCATTATAAAGCAAGGATGCTGGCACTCAGATCAAAGCACCATGAATATCAGTGCTTCAACAACAGACATGCTGATGAGAACAAACATCACTGTCCTTTGCAGTCACTGCCATCCCTCTAAATGAAACACTGAAGTACCTGTAAGGTTACATTTGACTTACAGCTCAACTTTACCAGCTACATTAACATCACGATAACCAGAAAATTGCAGCATGAAACAGAGCTGAAGAACATCATCTGCTTATGCTCTTCATCCTGGATTATGCACTACTGATGATTATTATGAGTGTTACACAGCTAGATAAGATTGGAAAAATAAAATCACCTGTTTAAGACTATTCATGAGATAGCTGACTTACCAGGCAGAGCCAGACAATCCAGCTACATATGTCACACAGTCTAAAATACCAGTTTCTGAGAGCCCTTTGAAGACACCACTGAGGCAAGTAAGTGCACGAAATCCTCCTCCAGAACCCATAACAGCAATCACTGGAGTCTGAGATTTTTTAATGTAAAATAATTTTAAACATTATCACAATATAAAGAGCCAAATTTAAATACAATAAATTAAATATTGTGCACTAAAATTTCATAAAACTAAAAGATTTTCATTTTTAATGGATTTAAAGGATTGAGCATTTATCATGTTTTAAAAGATAGAAACTTAGGGATTTTCTTTTCAAAGGTTAGAGGGAGGAGCTTCTTCTCTATTTTTACAAATTTGAGGGTTTAATTTTTTATATGGTAACTTTTGATGGGAAAAAGCTAGGTACCCTTAAAACTGTATCATTTTAGGCATTCTTGTAAAAAGTAAAAATCTTCAGCAATACAACCAGGTCATATTTATAGCAATGTTTTACACCTTCAGCACTACATCAATCACCAACTAAAATCCTTCCCCCCCCCCCTCCTAAAAAAAAAAAAAATCTGAAAGAAAACCCAATAGATATCGCACCATAATTTTGCATGGACTATACCAAATGTTATCACAAATATTTTAAGATTAGCATTGAAACAGGATAGTCAAACCACATAATTATGTTAATTATCTCAAAAATTTATTCAAAGTTATTATTAATATTATGATAATGCACCATATCAGAAGTTATTATTTTTCCACACTGAAAATATATTTCTGATAGGTACTTACCTCCCTCATGGTGCTGCCCTCTATATGCAAAAAGTTTTCACATGCCACAAGCCTTGAACTCCCATGTACCCCATGATAAACGTGATTCAACTGCATCTCGAATGTAAATCATCATGCGATAACCCTCCACCAACAGAAAAGTGACACACCCTCCCGACACATGTGACTCCCTCTATTCGATTCTACTGAACTATCACTTCAAGATAATGTAGAAAAGAAATGCACAGATTTATAGTGGGGAGAAAGGGTGGCTAGTGTGTAAGTAGGTAACTATCCATCAAAAATATATTTTCAGTATGGAAAAATAATAACTTCCGATATGGTGCCTTACCTCCTTTCACATGTATAGCTACAACCCCACACTGAATAGGTGGAGGGACAGAAATAAGTGTCCCTCAAAAGCATCTGAAGAACACCCATGAGGTGTGATCCCTGTTGAGAGAGGAACACACGTGGGATACTGCTTCACTTCTGTATCAGGTATACTCTATGTCCAGTATGTAAATAAGTGCCACATACACAGGTGGAAAGTGGGAGGAGCACAGCCCAAAAGGAAGAGAAAAAAACAGGTGTGTGTTTGAATCTGAAAAACAATATACTGGAATCTTAATCCCATTGAAAAAGAGATTGTAGAAGAACCATCTACAGACAGGAATATAGGGAAAACTAAAAAGGATGTGCTCCAAGGTGTAGAGTGGCTAGAACATGATGGACTGTAGGTGGCCAGCCAACTCCAGTCCAAAACCAAATGGCATCGGGATTACTACTTCCAACCCATAGTAGAAAGAGGGTTCACACCATCTTCACTTCAAGTGGAGTAAAACAGAATTATATACGTGCCAAATCAACCAAACATGCCAAACGAACAAGTGCAAATCCACAACCACCCATATATCAGGGAACCCGACATCCAAAAAATGGTACAAAAGGATGTGCCAATGTAGCAGTTCACATCAAACCAAATCCAATCCAGCTGGAGCCTCTCAACTCAACAGCAGCCTCAGGCAGAGAAAACCTTTGGAGGTGGAGCACCAGCAGGAGAACCTTTTCCCCTAACAACATAATCCTTTGGACAGGACCACACAGAAGTTGGAGTGCATGTGTGTGCAACATTAACCTCTGGGATCCATCACATGGAGGTGGAGAATATGAGGCAAAACTATAAAATTGAAGTGAGGATGAAGAATCACAACCAACAAGTGTGAGGACTTATGTTGATTGGTCCAGCTCTAATCCAAAAACCACTCACTGGGAACCGACTTCCAGGCAATGGTAGGACGAGTGGTCCCAACATGAAAAGGTGAACTACAAAGTGATGAATCTACTCTGGATATAACTACACAAACGCTGCAGTGCAAAAGCAACCTCTGGGTCCCACTGCACAGAAATGGATTGCTTTTGTAAAATATATGCAACCTCAACCTCCAGATAGAACCACACAGAAGCTTGATGCAACATTAACCTACATGACTCACCACACATGATTGGAGGATTGCATGCCAACTACACCATAAAAAAACCACCACCTTACTCTCTACTGAATGGAAGTGAACACATTCAGGAAGACATCTCCGTCATCCACCACCCCAGCAGCTTGGAAATGGAAGGTGGCAAAAGCTCTCACACTCCATTAGAAGAACAAGGGGGGATAAAACACAATGAAGAGGAATGCCAACTCCAGAAACAGTGCAACAGATGACCACAAAAACCCTATATTGAAAAGCAGACTGCCCCTGATATGTTTAATCGAAGGGAGACTACTAAGGGAGGCCAATCAGACAATGAAACAATGAAGAGCACATACTAGACATAGAAGTCTATCTGGAGCAGATCAAGAATAAAGGTGGGAAATGAACAGAAGAGAAAATGGCAAGAAGAAAGAATGACCTCATGAGCCACCAATATACTGAGTAAGAACACTTGATTCAGAAGATTCACACTACAAGGAGGTCAATGAATTTGGAAGGAACGAAAATGGAACAGGCTAGTCCAATTCTGACTGGGAAAATACACTACCAGGGTCTGAAGATGATGATCTGGAGACCAAAAAAAAAGCACTAACTTGGTGTTGTAGTAAAGGAGCAAAAGCATCCAGGTCAGAAGGATCCCACTGATTGCACAGCCACCTCAAAACCTGAGGGTTGAGAAGCCACTCCGTGCGGTAAACCTGGTCGAGTCTTGAAAAACGATTAGCTACAAGGTGAAAAGCACCCAGAACATGACACACAAGCAGATTTATCCACAGCATATGGGCCCAATAAAAGAGGTCCAATGTTTGACCACAAAGGGAGCAGGAACAAATGCCCCATAGTGATTGAAATAGACCACAACAGTGTAATTGTCAGAATGGAGCATGATGTGTTGGTACTGTACCAGTGGAAGAAAATGAATCAAAGCATGTAGTACCACCATAAGCTACAAGATGTTGAACTGGTAAGACTAACAATCTGAGACCATTGTCCAGAAGCCTCTTACTGATGGACCAACACTCCAGAATCTTGGAGAGAAGCATCTGTGATTCGATGCAAATCTGAATGAGGTGGAGGAAGCAGTATTACCTTCGCTGTGCTGTCCTTGTTCAACCACCAATGCAGATAGGCTGTAAGGAAAGGAGGAAGGGTAATTGGGGAGTCCAAGAGATTCTGAGTAAGATTCCATGGGCCATGCAGAGGCCTCTAAAGAGAATTTATAAGTAACTGACCCAAAAGAATAAGGGCTTCTATAGAAGCCCAAGTCCTCAAAAGTGACAGAACCTTTTGTGCTGAAACTGAGGATGAGGAAAAGCATGAAAAACGGAAAACACTATCAAACAGAGAAGTGGAGAAAGATGGTCCCAATGAGGAGGGTGTTGAAAAACACACCAAGTAGATAAGATAGTGGGTAGGCAAAAGGGGACTTCACCAACTTTAGAATCCAACCAACACAAGCTGCTACTGTTAATGGCAGATGTGTGTGTTGAGAAGACTCCAGTTCAGAATGAGCTACCAGAAGCCAGTCATTCAAGTAATGGGGTAAACACAACTCTAGAGCATGCATAAGTTAGGTAAAAGCAGTGATCACCCAATAAAATACCATATGATGCTGAAGCATGCCCGAAAGACTAGTTGCAAAACTGATACACAATCCCGTAGTGGACAAACCAAAGTTAGCATCTGGACTGATGAGAAATACTAATATGGAGACGGGCATTCAAGAAATCTATCTTGGTCATCTATGGTCCAGGAGAAAAAAAACCTCTTGAGTGTGATAAAAGACTCCATGGGACATTGAGGAAGAACCAGAAATTGGTTGAGGTAGGATAGATGATGGATCACAGGACAAAAACCTGGAGTAAAATCCTGGAGAAGGTTGGCTGACAAGCATGATAGCTCTCTGTGATGGAAGGGCCAGCAAAACCTTGGATATACTTAATGGGAAGGAAATTGGTACAGAAAACAAAAGTGGGGGGAAAAGGAAAAGGATGAAAAATCCATGTGACTAAACTTCGATCACCCAAGAAATGGTAGCAAATAACTGCCATAGGGGAACAAAAATTGGCTGAAAATGCCCCACTGGACTGGAAACTACCTGAAAGTCACTGGAATTGCTGGCGACAATAACCCTGACTTTGAAACACAATGTGAAATTTTGAGCCTCTAGTGGTAGGAAATGGTATAGGATGGGAGATTACAAGACAAGAAACAGTTATGAGTAAGGTCATGGTATCAGAATGAGAAAAACGAGTAACCAAAGACTAAAGGGTCGATTGTGAGTTTACAGAGTCCACATGTGATTCCAAAGACTGGAAAATTTCCAAAAACAAACTTATGGAGAAAAAGAACCATCTGGCAGTCACAAAGATAAGAGGAAAGTAGATGAACCTGTGAAATAACAGTACCCTTCCCAACAGCAAAAAATCCATATGTAGAGGGATAGGGCCGAAGAGAAGTGATAGTTTGAAAGAATTGAATAGAGGGAGTCACATGTGTCAGGGGTGTATGTGTTGCACTCCTATTGATGGAGGGTTGTTGCATGATGATTTACATGAGAGACACAGTTGAACCACGTTGATTGTGGGGTATGTGGGAGTTCAAGGCTGTGATATGCAAAAAATATTTGCATATAGAGGGCAGCAATGAACAAGACTAGCTGTGAGAGGAGGTAATGCACCATATCAGAAGTGATTTTAAAAACATTTTGTTATTCTTTCACCCTAAATTCTAGAACTTTTAGTCCTTCAATTACTAATATACCATCTTTATGATAAAACAATGACAAATGGTAGATTGTACTAATTATAAAATAAAGAAATCAAATATTTATACATTGTTAATATTGTAAACAATCATTAATTACTAAGTTTTTTCATAGTTTAACCATTATTTTTTTTTATGGAAAAACAAAATTACTGAAAATACTTGCAAAATATAGTACACAGATAAAAATCACTATTCATTTTAGAAGGTCACGATTTATCTTGTAATATTTTTAAGTTGACAAAAAGGAATATTATTTGTTAGTTACTGCTAGAAGATAATTCTTCACTGTTTAGTTTCAAATACCAAACTAAAAGGTAACAATTATTATTGATGGTAATAAAAACATTATTTTAATAGTTAACAAAACTGTTTTTATGATAATTAGCTGGTTCCTAAATGAAGAATTTCAGTTTTTTACAAGAACATGTTCAATTTATGTATGAGACAATTAGAAGAAGGATTATGTGTACAGACATTTTATTATTTTATATGTTACTGGATAACTTTACAGAAACATAGAATAATATTTCATTACACATTAAAAGTTTTGTTAAATACCTCATCTTCATCATCTACAATATCTTCTTTTAAGAATGACTGTAGACCTTTTAGAACTTTTTGTTTTCGATGTTTCAAGAACTCCAGTTCACCATTACACAAACTAGTCCCATATCTCAGATCAGGTTGAGTGCTTGTACGAACATGAAACTTTATAAGATTATTTATATTTTTATAAGAAACATGTTAAAGGAAACTAAAAGTTGAATAATAATTTATGTCACAGAACTTACCTGTCAAAAATATAGCGATATTTTATTTTATATGTAAAGTTTTTCACAGAATGTTCACTTACAAAAGAAATAACACGTTATAAGATTAAATTAAAGTACAAAAACATATGAAAATCTATTACATAAATATGGGGTGTTCAACATAAACTGTATGATATTAGATGTTATAAGATTTCTTGAGATTACTGCTTGAAATACCCTGCTTTAAGAACCATACATAATAATTGTTATCAAAATACTCCCATAAAATTTTTTGTAATTAGAAATAAAAATAAAAAAACTGAACTAAAATCATATTTTAAATTAGAAATATAAATTAAAGTATTATCATGCACTTAAATTAAACAGGTTAGTTTAATAAGCATTTTTAAACAAACACTTAATTTTAGTAATGATACAAAATGCATTGAAATGCAACCGAAATGTACAAATATCAATGCATCATCCCTTTTATCTGCTGGGTTAATGTATAGACAACCTTTCCCTGTTTATTATTCCTATGAAATGAGACTTCCAGAAAAGAAATTGTTTTAAAATTAACAATAAAAGGCATCTAAAATTAGTAATTAATTTTTTCTGTTCAATGGTTAAAGGAATTTCTTTGACCTTAATGGAACTTTCAGTTTAAGTATTTTTTTAATAAGAGCAAAGTCTCAGTCAAATCATGCAACATCCAAAACTCACCTTATCATACTTATGTTGCTTTTATGATTCCTCTCGTTTATTCCATAAAGAAAACCTTTAACAGAGAACGCATGCTTTTTTACCATTCTTACTGGCCAGAATACAGACAAATTTTAGTTCTTTTTTTTTATCATTCAACAAGTTTTACTTGCACCAAGAGATCTTTTGATTGGTAAAGTAAATGCTTTCCATGATATACATAGAGTAAAACACTTTTTTAACGGGGGATATATAAATGAATATAAAAAAATTGCATGAAAAAAACATAAAAGAAACTCACTTCAGCTCTAGTTTTAGGTAAAGCTTGATTTCTCCAGCCTAATAAGAAGAAAACGAAAATTATTAAACTGGATGCACTGCAAAATATAAGCAATCCATCTTCTAAATAAATGCAATAAATGTATCACTGCATCAAAAAATAAAAACTGGAATATATAGTTATGATAATATAAAACAAAAAGGAAATTATATTACACATGCAATACATAATAGTCTGCAATTTTTAAATATAGCTTTAAAAAAAGCTAAAGCTTATAGGTAAGTATTAGGTCGTCAAGAAATCAATGTTGATGGAAAACTCAAACAACTTATATAT